CCTTCGCACGCCTCGCTTAATGTTAATACAATAACCATCTCAATCAATTCGCTCATTGACTTCATTGCTGCGTCACTTTTACGTTTCAACAAAAAACCAATTAACCACTGGCTGGACGAGTGATTCATGACGTCCCTGCACGTCGGCTGATTTACCAATCAAGCGATGCACTCTTGAATTTCTGCGACTTCCTTCCTCTGTGGAAAAATAAATTTACTGTAAATCTAACGATACCATTCATTGGAAACGGGATGAAGGAATTAAATATACATTTACAGTCTGATATATTTATAAAAAGCAAGTCTTTTATACAACATTCCTAATTTTGTATGTACAAAATAATTGTAGTTAAAACATAATATTGTCGCAAATCTGTGAACTTAGGTGACACGTTTAGCCATCGTCTTATTTGTGGGGTCCGGAATATTTGGCCCAAGTTTTGCGGCCGAAACGGTTAACTGTGAAGATGAAAGCGTACACAATCCCAGTTCCGCAAATGCTTTCGCTCGAATTTAGTTAGTTTCCGAAGCGGGACGCGTGTCTGGTTGGCAGCCGGTATTCTTGTCATCTAGAATAATAATAGTTAAACTTCCGTCCTGCGTTTCGCGGGAAAGAGAGTTTCGGCACTATTCTCAGATACAGCGTTCCTCCACTTCAACTTATTTTTAAGACTCCCCTTGTTTTGATTTGTTAGATCCTTAAAATTACCCCATGTAAGATTTATATTAATTAAACACGTAAATATGTGATCGGACATGATACATTTCGTGTTCCTTTTTTTATTAAATTAAATGACCATTACAATAAATGACCCAATTTCTGTTCGCGTCACAATTTCCATTCAATGGCTAATAGAATAGAAAAAAGAGCCAGTATCACTTACTGTATATCTATGACATGATTTTGGTTTCATTAATAAGGTGAACACATGGTTTTTGTTTCCCATAGGTAAATTAACCCTCGGATCAAGCCGGGATGCGGATATTTCTGTCGTTGGTACCGGCGTCGAGCCCGTTCACTGTGCGATCGAAAACAATAACGGCGTGGTCACTCTTCACCCCATAAATGGTATCACGGCGGTCGATGGTGTGCCAATAAATTCGCCAGTCAGACTCGCTCAAGGTAAGACCTTGACTCAAATACGGACGATCAAGACTCACCGCGAAATTCCTATCCATTATCGTCTTTCAAATTTTTATTTCAATACAAGAAGTCAGTAAAAAACATCCTATAGTAAACTCATGCAATAATAATGTCATTATTTCTGTTTACTCATGAAGAAAGTTCGATTCAATCTGTCTTCGCAAAAAGATTTTACACGCGGATTTCTCGTTCCAGGTTGCATGCTTTCGATCGGACGATCAAACTACATGCGTTTCAACCATCCGGCCGAGGCGAAGCAATTACGTTCGGTGGCCCCGCACTCAAGAATCTCGATGGCGCCTATAAGCTTTTCACTGCCGGAGACCCAGCAACAGGAGAACTATCACCTGGAGAGGAAGCCACCAGTGGCTCCCCGAAAGTCGCCACGTAACTCCTGTTCGGACGACGAGATCGGTTTTCTCGGGAAACTGACGAAATTCGAGATGCTGGCGAAGCAAAGCAGGAACAACTGCGTCTCGCCTAAGGTATTTCCAGCGGGAGCGGTCACCACGAACGTGCCGGCAGATCAGATCCTCGGCCACTCGAGATCCTCCAGTTTAATTTCGTTGAAGAACGGGAACAACAACTCGCCGTTACAGAATCTGACCAACTTAGAGAGGAGCCGGTCGAACACGCCGTCGTTCAATTCTTCGCCGCCTCATTTTCTGAACGCATCGTCGCCGGGCTTCATCTCCTCTTCCCCGCAGCACTGCGACGAAAACCGGCAAAGACAGGAAGTCCGGACGCCCAGCAGATGCAACACGCCTAATCTCCAATACCAAAACACGTCCACTCCGAATCACAATCAGATACAAATGTATTCTACAGCAGAATCGTACTTGAAAACGTACAAACCGTACTACCGGGATTCGAACAACGATAACAACGTGATCGCGTCGAGGAACAATCAGGACCTGATGTCCCGCAGCTTCACCTGTCAACGATCCAACGACTTGGACGAGTTGACCGCGAGAGATTTCGACATGAGTCAAAGCTTGATCGTGACGAAGACCATGACCACCGAGTATCTGCAGTTAGAGAAATTCGGCTCGAATCCCAACATCTGTAACAGCCCCAACAACGGTAATTTCTGTGGTTTGAGGAACGTCTCGCAGAATTTCGGCTCGAACCCAAACATAAAGAGGATACAACCGCCGAGTCCGGCGTTCAATCGCAATCCTCAGAAGTATAACGAACAGAAACGAAGTGTGGGACGCGTGAAGAGTCCGACGCCAAGCACCGGGAGCGGTTGCTCGCTGGAGGAGCTCAGGGAGAGGCAGATTGACGCGGAGAACAAACGGCGGGAGGCGGAGAACAAGAGGAAACAGGCGCAGGAGGAGAGGCTGCGGGAGCAGGAGGTCGAGAGGCAAGAGAAAATGAGGCTGGAGGAGATTCTAGCCATGTGCGCTGAGTACGAGAGGCAGAGTACCATGGACAAACCGAGGCAGCCTAACAGGTAAATTATTTGCTACGTTTGCCTCTCCTCTTTTGACTTTCTTCATAATTGCTGTGTTTTACGGTGGAGTACCTCGAGTAAGGATTTTGAAATCTGACGTGTGTAAAGAGTACTTAAATTTCATAAGTCCTGCGCTCTCAAATCAAGTTGTGAAAACATTCGAGATACTAATGAATATCGTATTTTTATTTTGCAGGATTAAAACGAATGGCTCGCTGCCGCGCGACAAGCGCCTCGGTTACAGCTCGCCTTTCGACAGTCCAAAAAGCTTATCGAAGAACCAGCCGCACTTCTCGTTCGACACAACAAAACAAGCGAACTCAGCGTCATACGAGAACGTGTGCGTGCAAAATTCGAAGATGGTATTCCAAAACGGCAACTCGCCTAGCAACCGTAGAAATCAAACTGACGCGAAGGACTATTCGCTCGTGACCACGCCAAATAGTAACAATAATAATAATAACAACAGTAATAACAACAATAACAATCACGCAGGGTGGCTAAACGTTCATGGCAACGGGGACCATAGTTTTTCTAGCTCGATCTCGCAAGCTCGTAGCTCGAGCTACGAGAACGCGACGATTGACGGTAGTTTAACGATGAACAACAATAGTGGCAACTACTCGCAGTTAATCGAGAAGGATAATAGTTACGGGACGATCCAGTTGAACGGGACTAGGATCAATGGGCAATCGGGTAAAGGCGCGCGGAAGTACGAGAACGGGAACGTGAGCTTGTACGAGAACGTGGCCGTGAACGGTGCGCAAAACAACAATCAAAACAATCATTCCATGCCAAAGAAGAACGGCCAGCTGTCGAACTCGTGCGACATGATCGAGAACAAGCTGGCCATATCGAACGACGACCTCCTAGAGGCTATCGAGCAGCTTTCGATGCTGTCGAAATCCAAAGAGATCTGCACGATACCGAAGAAGAACAACACGGAGAAGGACAATGCGAAATCGAACGAGGCTAAGGCCGACAAGGAAAGGAAGGAGCTCGAGGAGGAAGACAGGAAGAAATACATCGAGTTCCTTCAGAACGAGAAGCTGCACATCCTTGGTAATATGGACGTCCTAAAAAGGAGCGTCGCTGATATTGAGATACAGGAAGAGGAGATCAGCAGAGAGGTCAGTGACTTCTCTTTCTTAAATCGTATATTATATCAGGTACAATAATTGATTTTTGAGGAGATTAGATCGGTAATATAAAAAATAATCTACAGAGCATTATCAAAGTGTTTCAATTTTTCGTCCGATCGATACTTTAGTCTGTGCGGCACGAGAAGCAAAACATAGTTCCTCCACAGTCGAGCCTTATCCTCTTATCTAAGTTTGACTTTTTTGCATTTCGCGACGAGATAAGACTCTGTGCCCTACGTTCTTCGTTCCATAATCGTCCTCAGTCATATTCTATCGTTCGTGCATCGAGCATACGTATCAGAAATGAAGAGAATCATTTTCTTCTTTTCCAAATTTAAATCTAGACGAAACTTGGAAGAGCATACGCAAATATCAAGGGTATATTCTTTTATGTTTCAATTAAAAAATTCTTTCTAATTCGATTTGAACTTGATATTTTGGAAAACAGTTAGAACTGGAGAAAGCGCTGCTGTCTGCGGAATACGAGTCGGAATCGTTGAAACTGAGTCAGGACGAGGGCGAGAAGATCAAAGTGCAGATGCGAATAAACGAACTCGAGAGGCAGATGGCCGAGGACAACACCAGCCAGGCGAATTTGCAAGCGGAGGCCAGGCAGAGAGTTCAAAGGGCTCAGCAGGCTTGCAATCGTTTGGAAGAGGAATTGGCGAACTGCACGGACGAAACGATGCAACAGAACATTAGCGAGAAGCTTATGGCTCAGCAGGACGTCCTCGAGTCGGAGAGGAAGGCCTTCGAGGATCTGGAGTTCCATCACCTGGAGGAGGAGGCCAGCAAACTGGCTACTAGGGAAGAATTACAAAGGTATTTTCTTCAATTATAATATAATAGAGTTAAGACCTAAATTTCTTTTATAATTTCTTACACCGTATTTTATAATCTACCTTAAGTGACAAAATATTTTAGCATTTTTCCTCAAACATACTACGTTTATTTCTTCTTATTTACAATCGTATATTTGTCTGTTTCAGATATTTGAGTGAACTGACAGCCAAGATAGAAACGAGGAAGGCTCGTATGAGTCATCTGGAGTCGCAGAGATCCGAAGTGAAGAGCTCCGCGACCAAAGATGCAAGGAGTCTCGAGAGACAAAAGTTGACGCATTTGAAACGGTTGGAAGAAGTCAGTAAATTTACCGCTCCTCGGAAATAATATAAATATCATTTTTCATACGTTTAATTTTGTTTCGTTTTGACTCGCAGGGTCGAAACCGAGTTAGAGCGATCAACGACGAGCTGAGAAAGTTGGCACAGAATTCTTGCAGCGAGAACAGCGAAGAGAAACGGTCTCCCAGCAGGGAGGACTTCGACAGGATCTCCAGGGTCACCACCGACTCTCCCATTGTGAACAATCAGGGCAGCTTGGGCAGAAAGACTATCGAATCACTCAAAGAGATCGAGAGAAATCGGCAGCTTCATTTAGCGAAACAAGGTAAAAAGCCTTATAGATTCAATCTACAGTAATTTTCAATTATGGCACGTTGAGAAAAATACTTTATTGACTAGAACATCTCATATGATTTACTATGTTCCTTTTATTAAATAATTCTTCTAATAAATTTATAACGAATGAACAGAGACTTATTAAAATTCTTGTCCTATCGTTACAGGCAGCCAAGTAATTTCGGAAGAGCGACGACGAGTGGAGGAATTGAAACGGAGGGTACAGGACGAGGTTCGTTCGCAGTGGGAGGAAAGGAAGATGAACTGCACCTCTTTCAACAGCGTGGAATCCGGCGAGGAGTCATCCAGTTATTCAACAGGCCCAACGGAAAGGTAAGATTAATTTATCTTTACGAATCTTTTTCAAGTGTTCAACGTATGGAGAAATTATTCGCAGCATAGAAAAGTGTTATCACTATGTAGGTATAGAAAGAACAGAAGGTTTACAATGAATTTTGAATTACATTTACGTTGTTTTAAATATAAAAATTAATATTTACATAAAACACATAGTATATTATTAATTGATAAATAAACTTAATTTTTATTAACTGATTAATCCTGTAGGATTTTGATTATCGAATATTTCTTAAAGAATACAGAAGAGACATTTCCCGTCCTAAAATCAATTTTATCCGTTTTATTATTTATTTATTGCCTTGCATTCCGGATTTGCCAGACTTCCGTGTACATTTTCTTACATTTAAAGACTTTGCTTTAATCTAAACTCTATATTCCTTCGCTCACCAGCCCTGATCTGTCACCCTCTCGCTCTTCTTTATCTATGCTCTATTTATTAATAATACATAATGTTTATTAATTTCTTTGACATCGACGACCTGTTTTCATTTAATTCATTACAAAATCAATTAACGTAATGTACACGCTGTCTCGATACGGAGAACGCGGTTCTCCGTATGACACCCAATAGACCTTGCTTAATCACAAGTTCCTCGCCGTAAACGGGAACGTGTTACGCAAGAAGTGCGTCGCGTCTCTTTTAATCGTCCAGTTTCGCGAAACTGGAATCCCGCTGAGAGTAAAAGGTGTCACGTCGCGTCGCAGCCTTGACGCGTCCACGCGGCGAGAAAAGAGCGTCTCGGTCCGGCATGAAGAAGCGTCCGATTCCTGTTGATTGCCGACGATAAAACGTTTTATCAGGGGGACTCCGTTCCCTATAACGCGCGTTACTCGGACACGCGTTCGGGTGGGGTGTTATCAGGCGATACGGTATCTACCGCGGCGAGCTGCCTTTCCGCGGCTGACTAACGCGGCTGACACGTCGCTTTATTCCCGTTAATTGTGATGAAAGTGTCCAAGCCCTGAACAGTGAAACTGCGGGTGTTATCGAGAGATAAGATAGGCGTTTATAGATTTTAAAGAAGCCCACAGTGAAATCGTGTTATAAAGTGCAGGAATTATGTCATTTTTACTAACTACGTGATAGACCATAAAATACGTTTTACGTGAATATGAAATTATTAAAAGAAAGTCCTGGAAAATGTATGACGTTAAATTAATGGCAATGTCTACGTTATATAATTGAAGCTAGTACATTTGTAAATGTCAATGCTAGCAATTAACAATTCCTTTGTAAATGCAAGACCATGTTTGTGTTTGCGTAACACAGAAACCGACTTAACGTCTGCACTTAATTAGAGCTGACGGGCGAAGCGCGTGGATTAAGGAAATTAAAGCAGAAGCCTCCTAGGATGACTCGATAAGACTGACGTCGTTTCCACTGCGTAAAAAGGCTGGAAATAGATGAGACGTGTGTACAGAATGATTAGACGCGGTATATGAATTAACGAAACGATGGAACATGTCTAAGTGACAAGTGATGGACGTGGATTACAAACGTTTATTGTGGACAAAGTGAAAGCTGTGAATGAAGATCCTCGAAATTCCTCTTGGGCTGGGACGCACGTGGAAAGTAAGACGAGCCTTGGAAATGCACGATGCAATTACTATATACACACACCTCTGGCTGATAATGATTGAAAAATCGTGGAGCTTTAGTCATCGTCGTGTAAGAAAAATGTGAAATTTTACTAAACCCCACGATAAGATAAATAAGCGTTCGAGTGAAACGTACATAAATTTTATCAACGAGATTCGCGACAGGAAATACGAATAGAAATATTCGACGATTAAGTTGAGCGAATTGACTATAAAAATTGTAATATTGAAATAAAACCGGGAACGATCACAATGCATGTTGTTCCATGGTCTCGAGTGGATTGAGTGTTATAAACGCGGTTCGAATAATGCTTATTGAAGTAAATCGATGCACTGCTGAGATTGAAACAAACGGAGCTCGATGATCCCAGGTGGTGCAAAGACTGATTTATTCGACAGGTACTATTTGTGTCTCGCACTTCCTCAAGATTTGTCGAGTGAATAGAAAGTCTCGGGAATATTTCATAAAGTGATAAATCAAGGACAAGAGTACTTTAATAAACAGTGTGATATAATAAAAGAGGTAGAACGTAATTTTAAGTATAATGTATCAAGAATAAGTGGAAACGATAATATCGTTCAAGATTATTTCGAGTGGATAAGAGAAGTGAATTAACAATTCTATTATGAAAGACACTAATGGAAACTGAGATAGTAATGACACTTGAGTAACTCTCTAGTTTATTACTTAACCAGTAGTTTATTTTCATCTGAAGAAAGTGAAAGTGACTGACCTCTTGTAATACTATTTTGTGGTCATGAATCGTGTCCAATTATATTCTTCAATTTGACTCGTTGTCGAAAGAAATTTCATTAAAAATTGTACAAAGTGAAATCGTGCCGACCGAGGAGACTTCAAATATTTTTTTTTAAACAACCGTTAGAGGGTGTGTGAATTAAGGGGACGATAATGTGAGAATAATGAACGCGAGGGAGGTGGGTGCGTCTGTTTTGAACGAGGCTAGGCTCGGAGGGTGCAGTCTGATCACTTTCCTCACGAGCAATCGGCTGTACATCACCAGCAAGGACTGGCTCTGCGAGAACTGCTATCGGCCGTTAGAAAAACACACGCGTGCATTATATCGACGATACTTGTGAGTTTATAAAAAAAAAATTAAAACTAATTACATTTATTTCAATTATACAAAATTCTAATTATATCTGTGAAATAATTAAGTCTCCAAATTAATTTCAGTAGGTAAAACGAAATATAGAAACACGTATAGTACATAACTAAATGTGTACGATAAATCTTTAGAAACATAAGTCACGTTGCATTGTGTCTGTCCAATTTTGAATGTCACTATACAACGTGGTCCGTATTTCGCTATGCGAGATCCGGAGAACGGTTCGAGTGTCTCCTTTCTCTCAGCGGACAATGACTACGTGCACGGTGTACTCTCCAGGGAAAAACGAAAAAGATGACCCCGTTCTCGGGGTCAAGGACAGTGTTACCATAGCAACGGGTTCGGAAAGAGCATCGTCGTGCCGCGCGACGGGGTTTGAACATTGTAGAAAAGAATTAAATGCTATGCCGGTGGCACGAACCGAACCGGTCGACCGAAGTCGAGTCACTTTGTACTTGTTAGGTTTTAATAATACCTGCCGCGGCTATGGCCTCGCTGCTAGTGGCCGATCCACGCCGGCTAGAAGAAGAGCCTCTCGACGCCTTCCACTACGACCGGAGTTCTTTTCTTTCGACGGTGGTGCGTTGCGTAAGGCGAAAAACCGGTGATATCTCGACTCGATTGACGTGGATAACTCGAGGACGCCGTTTCCCACCTCCCCTCGTGTGGTCCTGCCCGTTTATTGCCGTCGCGAATTCATTGCCAGCTGTTCCGTTCCGACGATTTCGCATTCGGATATACTTCAACCTTGGAATTCTGTTTGACACTCTCGAATTCGGTGTAGCTACATAAAATACTGTTAGGGGATATCCGGAATTTCTGTTGACATAGTCTGTTGTGTAATTTTTAAGAACGAAATATAATATAAGTTATAGTAGTTATCAAATATAGTAATAAAAGCAAAATTTTTAAAAGTGGACAGTAAAAAAAAATCGCATCGCACTTTTAGCGGCAGCGGGAGCAGCGACAGCGCGGAGGGCGGAACCAGCGAGAAATTATCTCCTAGCAAACTTTCGGAACTCACGTCGCCCAGCCCTGGACCTTCGAACAATTCCTACAGTTTGCTCCAAAATGATAACGTGAGTATCTCGAGGATAAATAATCTGTTATTTAAGACGACAGTTTTTATCGGCTGTGCATTAAGAAAAGCGGAAACGTGCCATTACATAAAAGATACTCGGCTATAAATAGCTGGGTATATCCATTAAACGTTCTTTTCAAATGCAAACAAACTGTTGACCGTCGATTAATCTGGTACCGCGAGGATATTTTTTTTTTGTGGTCCAAGAAAAACATTTGATCAGCGGGAGGGAAACGCAACGTTTCCCGATTGGGAAATATGAACAGGTTCCTCGAATTCGCGGTCATTAAAGCCTGACGAGCCAGTTTAGACGATCGTGGCTCGAACGTGTTCCGCCGTGACACGCCGATTTCTCGCGACCGTGAAGCCGGGCCTGCGGCAAATCAGGGAAAACCGTCGGTTTCGTCCAGCTGCCAATGCTTTTACGTTTGACAAAATACACATGTGCATGAATCATTTCCGAACACAGAGCGTAAAAAATTGAATTCACGATTTAGATTTCATTTCTTAAAAAACACTGTGCAGGTTTCATCCTGTGAAACTCTGCGGGTTAGCAAAATATACAGAATTTGGGAAAACCTGGAAGTAAAGAAGTAATAAGAAGGTGAACTGTTTCTTATCAAATCAACATGTTGAATGCTACCAGCGAGCGTCGTTCGTATTTAAAATCCTATCGTTAAAAGGCAAACAAAAGTCGATGGCTATATTTATCTCTGGTGCTCCGCCGTGATGCCGATAAAAGTTCACCGATTAGTCATCCGTTCGATCTCCAGCCACTTTATAATTCAATTCGATTGGCGAGACACGCTCAAAATAAGTAATCGAGGAAATAATAAAGCAGGATATAAGAATTTAAAGAAATAACATTTGTTTCCTTATTATCAATTTAGAATGTAGGAATTTTGTTGAAGGTCTGATGTTTTTTATAATGGTTTAGGAAGGACTCATTTTAGAATTGAACATCTAAGGAAGAACCTAAGGAATCCGTTTTAACAAATTTATTACACTAAAAGATAATCATCGAGATCATTTATATACATTCGTTTATGAACTAATGTATAATTAAAGTTAAACTTAAGGATCCACACATCCACACACACACATGCAGGTTCGGTTCTCAAAATTTTTAAGAATTGTTTTTACTTTTCAGAAAATTTATATTTCATTTTCCCTCCTATTTTATTCATGTAGATCATAATTCCTATATTTTATAATTATAGCATCTTTAGAATTCTATTTTATAGTCAGAAAAAAAGCAAGAGGCTGAACGGTGAACGAGTTTCGCGTTAGAAAATATTGGAAGTAAAGAAATTGATTTATCACGTCGTAATTTAGCTCGATCGTTTTTTGCAGCCAGAATATTCACTTAGACAAGCTGATTTCAGTAATTACGACCGTCGACCGGTATACTTAACGCGTTCAATGATTTCATCCGGGCTCGAGTACCGAGGCTTACGTCTCAAATGAGACAAAGACGGATCTGAGATTGTAGCTCCAAGAAACTCATTTCGCAAGGAATTTGTAACGCACCCTGAGGGAAGCTTTCGTAGAATGTTCAGTATAACTTCTTGCACTCGCAGTTGCAATCATTTATTCCTGATGGGACTTCCATGAGTATAATATGAAATACACGTTGAATTTAAATGAATCAATTCCAGAAAATACTTGCTCACTCATACGAGTTATTACGGTTTTCTTTTATAAGTCTAGAGTTTTATTTTATTTATTTATCTGCAAGTTTATTGTAGGAATGGAAATCCAAGCCAATATGTAACCCTAATTGTGTTAGGGACACAATAAAAGCATTACTACTACTACTAATACAACTACTTGGTTTCTGGAATTAGTTTTTAAAAATCGATTTCGATTTGGGAATTGATTTTATCTCTTTCCCTTAGAAAAAGTCCTGTTTGCTGGCGACATACGAGATATGCAATTTGATAAACGCATCTGACTATCGAGGAACGTGAAATAGCAGTAAATATTTTGTTACATAGCTCTCTGGCTTTCGTCGCTTGTCATTACCAACAAATTGCGCGTGGCGGTTCTCTTCAAAAGCGCACATTAGCGCGCAAATGCGAGAGCTTGCATCAGAGGTTCGGCGTGTATAAGTACGTATTCGCGTGTATGTAATCGCAGCGTGTTTACGCGACTATCAAACGCTTCCGGAACCGAAGCCGAGGCGCGTCGTTTCAAGAATGCCGCTACAGAGTCGTCGAAGACAGGTTCCGAGCCCTAATGAACCGAAGAAGCTTGTTTTTCACATGTCGACTCGTTCATAATAAAGGAAACAGTTACAGAATTTATTAGACAGTCAGAAAAGTCTATACGTATGTGCTAATAATGTACACTTTGATGTTCGATCACGAGAATTTTATATTCTCTTCTCAGTTAAAAAGAAACTCATAAAGGAATACAAATTAAATAAATAATTAACTTCATCATTTCGATATAAATATTTTATTACAAATTGTGTGAGTGAAAGAAAAATTGGAAGATTAATGAAACAACTAATGTAAAATTATTTGTTTGGACTAAAGACGTTTTAGAAATTGAAGAAAAAAAAAAGAGAAAACCTGTTATCTATAATAGAGTAGGTAGCAAAATGTGAAACACAAACATCATGATTTGTGAAACAAGACTCGCTAAACAAGTTCTGCGACTAATAACATGAAAGGTAATCATAATTCTAAACGTCTTATTCTGTATCTCATCAAATCGTTCGAAACATCAACGAGCGGTCGCGTTTCCTTTAATGAAATCTCTCCTACTCACATAAAAAAGGCGTATTTATTAAAAACATTTGTCAACTATAAAACTATTCTCTAAACTAGCCACCCACTAGCTAGCATGTCACCTATATATTCATATTTTAACGCGGTGATCAAATGATCGTGACGCATGATTCGAGGAAGATGCAGTTCTTCCTAGGAAGATCGTACGACGTTGAGCTATTTTTTCCGTAACGACTGTCCCAATGAATCTCGTTCCGTGTACACAAGAGACCAGAGGAAAGCCTCGCTGTCATAACGAAATTCGTCAGAACAGAATTATTCTTCTTTATTTCAATCCATGCTCCATTTAACTTTCTGACAATTTTTAATTACAAGAGAAACAAAGATAGATTAAGTTTTATGGTATTTATGGAATGTCTCGGTTTTTATTTAAAGAACGGAATTTTATTATATCGTTAGTTTAGATCAGACTAACTTTCAGTGGTAATAATACGTGCTTTCGATCACGTAATTCACAAATATCCACACATTCTGGGGCAAACATTTTCGTCATTGGTCGTGTATTTTCGCGATACGCCCGTATCTAGGACTCGAGAGCATAAAATGTTGCATCTTCGAAACGACTTCCTCACGGGAATAGAAATCGACAAATAATCAGAACACAGAATTCGAATATAATTCTCTAGAATTTGTTATCCTCTTTTCAATTAAAGATGTATAGGCTATATACTTAAACAATGCTAGCATGTTGAATTTGTTATTATAGATTCCTATTACTATTGAAAAACTACCTTTAGCAAAATTTTAAATCAATTCATGGGTTTTTTGAGAAATTACAGTGACTTAAAATTTGTATGTA